CAGCTAGGTGGGCACGGGTGGGCACAGGGGGCACGGGTGGGTGCAGGTGGGCACAAGGGGGCACAGGTGGGCACAGGTGGGTGCAGGTGGGCACAAGGGGGCACAGGTGGGCACAGGTGGGCTCGGGTGGGCACAGGTGAGCTCAGGTGGGCACAGGTGGGCACAGGGGGGCTCAGGTGGGTGTAGGTGAGCTCAGGTGGGCACAGGTGGGGTTAGGTGGGATCAGGTGAGCTCAGGTGGGCTCAGGTGGGCACCGATGGGTACAGGTGGGCATAGGTGGGCTCAGGTGGGTGTAGGTGAGCTCAGGTAGGCACAGATGGGGTTAGGTGGGCTCAGGTGAGTTCAGGTGGGCACAGGTGGGTACAGGTGGGCACGGGTGGGCTCAGGTGGGCACAGGGGGCACAGGTGGGTACAGGTGGGCTCAGGTGGGCATAAGTGGGTACAGATGGGCACAGGTGGGCATAGGTGGGTACAGATGGGCTCAGGTGAGCTCAGGTGGCTCAGAGAAATGGGACACGTGGGGACAGAGAGATGGGACAGCTGGGCCCAGGGGGACTGTGTGACTCAGGCCCAGGTGACCCCACCTGCCCGGGTGACCCCACCTGTGTGAGGCAGGTACCAGTGACAGCCACGATGACCCCACCCCATGTCCCACCCGCCCAGGTGAGCTCACCTGTGTGATGCAGGCCCAGGTGAAGGCCACGATGACCCCACCCCATGTCCCACCCGCCCAGGTGAGCTCACCTGGGTGATTCAGGTACCAGTGAAGGCCACGATGACCCCACCCCACGTCCCACCTGGCCAGGTGAGCTCACCTGTGTGATGCAGGCCCCGGTGAAGGCCACGATGACGGCCACCACGTTGACGGTGAGCTGGAACTGCAGGAACTTGGAGATGCTGTCGTAGACGTTGCGGCCCCACATGACGGCCTTGACGATGCTGCTGAAGTTGTCGTCCGTCAGGATGATGTCCGAGGCCTCCTTGGCCACGTCCGTGCCCGCGATGCCCTTGGGGACACGGACAGGTGGCCACAGGTGACACCAAGGTGACACAAAGGTGACCATAGAGATGAGAAACCCCATGGTAGATTCCCATGGTGACACCCAGGTGACCCCCAGGTGACACCAAGGTGGCCACAGGGATGGGGAACCCCATGGTAGATCCCCCAAGGTGACACCAAGGTGACCCCAGGTGGCACCAAGGTGACCCCCAGGTGGGTGAGGGGATGTCCGAGGCCTCCTTGGCCACGTCCGTGCCCGCGATGCCCTTGGGGACACGGACAGGCGGCCACAGGTGACATCCAGGTGACACCAAGGTGGCCACGGGGATGGGGAACCCCATGGTAGATCCCCAAGGTGACACAAAGGTGACCCCCAGGTGACCACGGGGATGGGGAGGGGTCCCCACTTTGGGACAGGGAGGTCTCGAGTCTTGGGGGTCCCATTTTCAGGAGGGGTCTGGAGGGTCCCGATTTGGGGAGGGGGTCCCAGGAATCCCAGTCCGGGGAGGGTTCTCAGGGGTCCCAATATGGGGAGGGGTCTCGAGGGTCCCATTTCAGGGAGGGGTCCCGCTATCTGGGGAGGGGTCCCGCTGTTTGGGGAGGGGTCCCGCTGCCTGGGGAGGGGGTCCCTCTGTCTGGGGAGGGGTCTCGCTGTCTGGGGAGGGGGCGTTACCATGGCGAACCCCACGTCGGCCTTTTTGAGGGCGGGGCCGTCGTTGGTGCCGTCGCCGGTGACAGCCACGACCTGGCGCTGGTCCCCGATGGTGCTGTCGATGATCCCTGGGGACAGGTGGGGCACAGGTGAGACCCCCGGGACCCCCCCGGGACCCCCGGGACCCCTCCCCACATTCGCACCTTTCACCAGGGTGTGTTTGTCGGTGGGTGACGACCGCGCCAGGACCCTCAGCTTGGGCCACACCTTGTCCAGGCGCTCCTGCTCCACCTGGGGGGGCTGAGACCCTCAGGGACCCCCCGGGGACACCGACACCCCGGGACCCCCAGGGACCCCCCTGGGGACACTCCGAGCCCCCCGGGGACCCCCCGGGGACACCCCGGGACCCCCCGCGGTCACCTGAACCCCCCCAGGGTCACCTGAACCCCCCCAGCACATCCCCACACACCTGGGCCAGGTGATCCTGCTCCAGCTGGGGGGGGGGGGGGAACCCCCAAGAGACCCCCCCAGGGACCCCCAGTGCCTCCCAGTCCCTGTTCCTCCCAGTGCCCCCAGTGTCCCCAGTGCCAGTCCCAGTGTCCCCAGTGCCATTTCCCGTGTCCCCAGTGCCAGTCCCAGTGTCCCCAGTGCCATTTCCCGTGTCCCCAGTGCCAGTCCCAGTGTCCCCAGTGCCATTTCCCGTGTCCCCAGTGCCAGTCCCAGTGTCCCCAGTGCCATTTCCCGTGTCCCCAGTGCCAGTCCCAGTGTCCCCAGTGCCATTTCCCGTGTCCCCAGTGCCAGTCCCAGTGTCCCCAGTGCCATTTCCCGTGTCCCCAGTGCCAGTCCCAGTGTCCCCAGTGCCATTTCCCGTGTCCCCAGTGCCAGTCCCAGTGTCCCCAGTGCCATTTCCCGTGTCCCCAGTGCCAGTCCCAGTGTCCCCAGTGCCATTTCCCGTGTCCCCAGTGCCAGTCCCAGTGTCCCCAGTGCCATTTCCCGTGTCCCCAGTGCCAGTCCCAGTGTCCCCAGTGCCATTTCCCGTGTCCCCAGTGCCAGTCCCAGTGTCCCCAGTGCCATTTCCCGTGTCCCCAGTGCCAGTCCCAGTGTCCCCAGTGCCATTTCCCGTGTCCCCAGTGCCAGTCCCAGTGTCCCCAGTGCCATTTCCCGTGTCCCCAGTGCCAGTCCCAGTGTCCCCAGTGCCATTTCCCGTGTCCCCAGTGCCAGTCCCAGTGTCCCCAGTGCCATTTCCCGTGTCCCCAGTGCCAGTCCCAGTGTCCCCAGTGCCATTTCCCGTGTCCCCAGTGCCAGTCCCAGTGTCCCCAGTGCCATTTCCCGTGTCCCCAGTGCCAGTCCCAGTGTCCCCAGTGCCATTTCCCGTGTCCCCAGTGCCAGTCCCAGTGTCCCCAGTGCCATTTCCCGTGTCCCCAGTGCCAGTCCCAGTGTCCCCAGTGCCATTTCCCGTGTCCCCAGTGCCAGTCCCAGTGTCCCCAGTGCCATTTCCCGTGTCCCCAGTGCCAGTCCCAGTGTCCCCAGTGCCATTTCCCGTGTCCCCAGTGCCAGTCCCAGTGTCCCCAGTGCCATTTCCCGTGTCCCCAGTGCCAGTCCCAGTGTCCCCAGTGCCATTTCCCGTGTCCCCAGTGCCAGTCCCAGTGTCCCCAGTGCCATTTCCCGTGTCCCCAGTGCCAGTCCCAGTGTCCCCAGTGCCACCTCCCCGCGGGCGTTGCGGATGCGCCGGCTGAAGGTCTTCCCCTCCAGGCACAGCCAGAGTCCCCAGTGTCCCCAGTGGCCCCAGTCCCTGTCCCAGTGACCCCAGTGCCTCCTCCCCGCGGTCGTTGCGGATGCGCCGGTTGAAGTCCTTCCCCTCCAGGCACAGCCAGTGTCCCCAGGGCCACCTCCCCGCGGTCGATGCGGATGCGCCGGTTGAAGTGCTTCCCCTCCAGGCACAGCCAGGGTCCCCAGTGGCCCCAGTGTCCCCAGTGCCACCTCCCCCCGGTCGTTGCGGATGCCCCGGTTGAAGTCCTTCCCCTCCAGGCACAGCCAGTCGCCGCCGCCCGCGGGGAGGATGCCGCACTTGGCCGCGATGGCGCGCGCCGTGTCCAGGTTGTCGCCTGTCACCATCCGCACCGTGATCCCCGCGCGCTGGCACTTCCGGATGGCCTCGGGCACCTGCCACACGCACCCGTCCCCGTCCTGTCCCCGGTGTCCCCCGTGTGTCCCCGGTGTCCCTCCATCGTCATGTCCCCCCATTTCCCCCCATGTCCCCTTTGTCCCAATGTCCCCAAGTCTCCATTCCCCCCGTGTCCCCCCGCCGTGTCCCCATGCCCCCCCATATCCCCACGTCACCATGTCCCCACGCCCACGATGTCCCCATTTCCCTCGCATGGTGCCCGA